GTGGCGTGTGCCTGTAATCCCAGCTACTCGGGAGGCTGAGGCTTGAACCTGGGAGGTGGAGGTTGCAGTGAGCCAAGGTCGCCACACAGTTAATAGAATGAGCAGCAGATTGATTCAGCCATCTGCAGAGTGATCCGCGCTCAGAGGGGCTTGGTGTTACTGATAGATATAGGAGTATGTCCCAGAAATCTAGGGGACCAGTGCTTCTGAAGCTAAAAATGATTGCCTCAGAGGATTCCAGGAAGTTGTAAGCCAATCAAATGTGTGGTAACCTGAGGCAAAACTTAACTCGAGGAAGCTTCCCCAGAGCAGAGCAGAGCAGTGGCTTGTAGTGGTTTTTGTTGTTTTGTTGTTGCTGATGATTCTGGCTTTTCTTTCTTTTTTTGGTAGAGGTCGGGGGTCTCGCTCTGTTGCCCAGGCTAGTCTTGAACTCCTGGGCTCAAACGATCCTTCCACTTCAGCATCCCAAAGCGCTGGGGTTTAAAGATGTGAGCCACTGCACCTGGCCATTGTGTAAAAACCATCTTTTGATAACATTCTGAATCAGCTGCCAGCATTCAGAAAATGTAGAGGTCTAACATAAAAATTGAAATTTCCAACTTCTCTTGACAAATGACCAGATATGCAATGCCGGGCCCACCTTCTCACAGGGCACCTGTGCAGTAACACTGAGCTTCAGAGAAGGCATGAAGACCTAAGTTTGCCATGAGTCCACCACACTCCATCATCGCCCAGACATGGAGGCTGAGACTCAGTTGCCAGTTATGATGACACTTTTGCTACTGGATTCTTACACCAGGTCCGCTTTACCTGGCTATGTTGTCTTGTGGCCCCTGTAGACATAAGAATGAGGCCTCAGCCACTGTCTAAGGCAGAGGGTGACCTGATATGATCTCAGTCCATGAAGAAAGAAATGGGAAGTACCATTTATCAAGTATCTATTAATATGCCAGGCACTGAAATAGGCACCTTATACATATTTTCTCCTCCTCCTCCTCCTCCTTCTTTTTTTAATTGGGTTTTTTTTTTTTTTTTTTGAGATATGGTCTGGTTCTATCACCCAGGCTGGAGTGCAGTGGTGGGATCTCAGCTCAGTGCAACCTCTCCTCCTGGGGTCAAGCCATCCTCCTCCCACTTCAACTTCCCAAGTAGCTGGGACTACAGGCATGCACCACTTCACCCAGCTAATTTTTGCATTTTTTTGTAGAGACAGGGTTTCACTATGTTGGTCAGGCTGGTCTCGAACTCGTGAGCTTAAGTGATCTGCCTGCCTTGGCCTCCCAAAGTGCTGGAATTACAGGCGTAAGCCACCGCACCTGGCCCAGATTTCCTTCTTCTTCTTTTTCTTCTTTTTTTTTTTTTAAGAGACGGGGTTTTTCCATGTTGGTCAGGCTGGTCTCGAACTCCTGACCTCAGGTGATCCGCCTGCCTCGGCCTCCCAAAGTGCTGGGATTACAGTCGTGTGAGCCACCGCACCCGGCCTATTTTCTTCTTTAATTGGTTTCCCCATCTTGACCTCTTTCCATCTAGTCCTCACATGATGCCCGTAGTGATCATTCCAAAGCACAACTCAGATCATTTTGTTGTCCTTCTGAAAACAGTTTGATGATTCCCTGTTGCCATCAAGATAGCCTAAACCCTTTAATTTGCTTCTACAGCCTTTTGTTTTTGAGGCGGAGTCTTGCTCTGTTGCCCAGGCTGGAGTATTGTGGCATAATTTTAGCTCACTGCAGCCTTGAATTCCTGGGCTTGACTGATCCTCCCACCTCAGCCTCCTGAGGAACTGAGACTATAAATGTGAAGCACTGTTCCTGGCCGGTTTGTTTTTTAATTTTTTTTTTTTAAGATATAATTCAGCCGGGCGCGGTGGCTCAAGCCTGTAATCCCAGCACTTTGGGAGGCCGTGGCGGGTGGATCATGAGGTCAGGAGATCGAGACCATCCTGGTCAACATGGTGAAACCCCGTCTCTACTAAAAATACAAAAAATTAGCTGGGCATGGTGGCACGTGCCTGTGATCCCAGCTACTCAGGAGGCTGAGGCAGGAGAATTGCCTGAATCCAGGAGACGGAGGTTGCGGTGAGCCGAGATCGCGCCATTGCACTCCAGCCTGGGTAACAAGAGCGAGACTCCGCCTCAAAAAAAAAAAAAAAAAAAAAAAAAGATATAATTCACATACCACAAAATTCCTTCTTTTCAAAGTACACAATTTAATGGTTTTTAGTGTATTAACAGAGTAGCGCAACCATTACCACAATCAATTTCAGAACATTGTCATCATTCCCAAAAGAAACCCCATACCTGTTAGCAGTCATTTCCTGTTCCCCCTGCCCTAGCCCCTGGCCACTAATCTACTTTCTGTTGCTATGGATTTATGTATTCTGGATTCATATAAATGAATCATACAATATGTAGCCTTTTGTGACTGGTTTCTTTCATGTAGCAGAATGTTTTTTGTTTTTTTGTTTTTAAGATGGGGGTTTCACCGTGATGGCCAGGCTGGTCTTGAACTCCCGACCTCAGGTGATCCACCCACCTCGGCCTCCCAAAGTGCTAGGATTACAGGTCTGAGCCACCGCGCCCGGCCAGCAGAATGTTTTTAAGATTCATACATGTATGTGTCTGTGTTTCATTCTTTTTTAGTGCTGAATAATATTTCACTGTATGAATGTGCTATGTTTTCCTTACCCATTCATCAGTTGGTGGACATGTAGATTGTTACCATGCTTTGTTAATAATAATGCTGCTGCGAACATTCATGTGTAAGCCTTTGTGTGAATATATGTTTTCATTCTCTTAAGTATGTACCTAGGAGTGAAATTGCTTGATAATATGGCAACTCTAACATTTTGAAGAACTGTTAAACACTTTTCCAAAGTGGTTGTATCATTTTACAACCCCACCAGCATATATGAGGATTCTAATTTCTCCACATCCTAGACAACATTTATTTTCCTTAAAAAAAAAAAAAAAAAAAAAAAAAAAAAAAAAAAAAACTTATAGCTGGTCAGGAGTTCAAGACCAGCCTGGCCAACATAGTGAAACCCCATCTCTGCTAAAAATACAAAAAAAAATTAGCTGGGCATGGTGGCAGGCGCCTATAATCCCAGCTACTTGGGAGACTGAGGCAGGAGAATCACTTGAACCCGGGAGGCAGAGGTTGCAGTGAGCCAAGATTGCACCATTTGCACTCCAGCTCAGGTGACAGTGAGAGACTCATCTCAAAAAAAAACAAACAAACACAAAATTATAGACATCCTTGTGGGTGTGAAGTGCTTTTTAACTGTGGTTTTGATTTGCATTTCCCTAATGACTGATGATGAAATCTTTTCATGTGCTTATTGACCACTGGTATGTTGTCTTTGGAGAAATCCCTTAGCCCATTTTTAAAGCGGGTTGTCTTTTTACCATTGAGTTGTAAGAATTTTTTCTGTATTCTGGATACCAGTCTCTTAACAGATATATGATTTGCAAATATTTTTTTTTTTCCATTCTGTGGATTGTCTTTTCACTTTAATAGTATCCTGTGAAGCACACAAAAAAGTTTTAATTTGTTGGCGGGGCACGATGGCTCATGCCTGTAATCCCAGCACTTTGGGAGGCTGAGGCAGGTGGATCTGAGGTCAGGAGATGAGACCACCCTGGATAACACAGTGAAACCCCATCTCTACTAAAAATCCAAAAAAATTAGCCAGGCCTGGTGGCATGCACCTGTAGTCCCAACTACTTAGGAGGCTGAGGCTGGGGAATTGCTTGAACCTGGGAGGTGGAGGTTGCAGTGAGCCGAGATTGTGTCACTGCACTCCAGCCTGGGTGGCAAGCAAGATTCTGCCTCAAAAAATAATAATAATAATTTATTGAAGTCTAATTTATTCTTTGAATGCTTGTGTTTTGGTGTCATGTCTAAGAAACTTGCCTAATCCAAGATCATGATTGATATTTTTGTTTTCATCTAAGAATTTTATAGTTTTAGCTCTTAGATTTAGGTCTATAATACTTTTATATGTTAATTTTTTATATGATGTGAGGTAGGGGTCCAAATTCATTCTTTTTTTTTTTAACTTTTTCTTTTTTCTTTTTTTTTAAGACTAGGTCTTAAAATGATATCTGAAAAAGTCACTGGGTTTTGACTATTCTCGTCATGACAAGCAGGGAAGTTTCAGTGGCATTGTGGATGCAGAAACCATGGTTAAGGAGTGAATTGCTGATGAGAGAGTAAAGCTTCAGTTACAAACTTTTCTTTTTTTTTTTTGAAACAGGGTCTCACTCTTGCCCAGGCTGGAGTGCAATGGCATGATCATGGCTCACAGCAGCCTTGATCTCCTGGGCTCAAGCGATCCTCCTACCTCAGCCTCCTGGGTAGCTGGGACCATAGGCACATGCCACCACAACCGGCTTTTTAATTTTTTGTGGAGACAGAGTTTTGCCATATTGCCTATGTTGGTCTTGAACTTCTGGCCTCAAGAGATCCTCCTACCTCAGTCTCCTAAGAGAGGCTAGAATTACAGGCATGAACCAGCACACCCAGCCTAGTTGTTACAACCTATTTATGTCCAAGTTTGTTGGAGAGGGAAAGAGGCAACTAGATTGGCACTATGAAACAGCTTAAAGGACAGAGCTAAGGGATTCGTTTTATTGTTATATGTCCATCTGCTACTTTCCTGCACTTCAGAGATTCTTTTTTTTTTTTTTTTTTTGAGACTGAGGCTCACTCTGTTGCCCAAGCTGGAGTGCAGTGGCACAATCTCAGCTCACTGCAACTTCCACCTCCTGGGTTCAAGCAATTCTCCTGTCTCAGCCTCCCAAGTAGCGGGGATTACAGGCACATGCCACCACGCCTGGCTAATTTTTTTTTTTTTTTTTTTTGTATTTTTAGTAGAAACAGAGTTTCACCATATTAGCCAGGCTGGTCTCAAACTCCTGACCTCGGGTGACCCTCCCACCTTGGCCTTCCAAAGTGCTGGGATTACAGGTGTGAGCCACCATGCCCGGCCAAGATTTTGACTTCTAATGAGAGTCCCTTTCATGGCTTTTTATGATGTCAGTTCTAGGGATTCAGCTGTGGTTCTCCTGCCTGCCTTCCTGTGACCACATACTGCACCCCACCTCTGCCTGTGTGTGAACATAGATGTGCATCCACCTGCGCGCACACACATGCACACAGATGCCTTGATTTGGGCTGATCTAGCATCTCAGGTATCTGAAGATTTTGGGAGTGACCAACAACTCTTCCCACATTTGGATAAGCTATATCTGCCCCCGCAAAAGATATTCTATGTGAGCTGTTTGGGTAGAAAGGAAGCGACAAGTCTCCTGACATCTTGGCAGCACCAAAAGACTGACAGTCCTCTCTCTTGGCCCTTAATTCCCTTGTGTCTCCCCTATGCCACTCATATAGGCTAGAATAAAATGGCTTTAAGATTTTAATTTTTCATCCCCCTACTGATTTGTCTTCAGCATTGATCCACTTGCTGCTAATTGGCATTTTTCTCCCAGAGGTAGATATGCCTGATTATGAGTCCCCCAGCCTGACCAGCTTTCACCACCAGCCTCACACAGCTCACGTGGTACCCCATACCTTTCAGAAGTATCTCCTGATCCATCTGCCCCTCCGAAAGACGTCCCAGCAAGGCGAAGCTGGTGCAGTGCTGAGGCATCCCCTCAGGTTCGTAGCCCAGCTCCACCTGCCCCTTCTCCAGGGCGTACCTCCCGTCCACAATGGAGCCCGTCATCACTTGCACCCTGCTCAGGTTTGCTGGATGGTTCAGAACCACTGTCAGGTGGTTTCCTATACTAATGTTGTGTGTCCAAAAGAATGACTCATCCAGAGTATAGGCCTCCCAGGGGAAATGCACACTGGAAACCTGCATATTAGTGAAGACAGCTGCAGGCGGGTTATCGGGACCAATGGTGTTCTTTTTCCGAAGTCCTGTGGCCTTCTGCTTGTGATCAAAGGCAGTGTAGGAGATCCTGCGGTAGAAGAGGAAAGGTCTACAGAGGATTGGGCTTTCCTGGACCAGGAGGGTACGGAAATGAGAAATCAGGCTGTGGAGGGGTTTCTCCTTGTAGAAGAGGAGGAGGAAATGGGCCAGGAGTGGGAGGTCCCTGCTGTGGAAGAGTTTGCCAAGGAAGCCCATATTGGAGAACTCCAGTAGCACCCACGAGTTGGACTTCATGGTGGCCACCCTCGAATAAATGTGGGTGACAAAGTTGGGGGCAATAAAGACATTGTCCTCTATTAACAGGAAGTAATCAGAGAGCTTTGTGGCAAAGCTCATGAGGAAGGCGTGATCTATGTTCTGCTTGGAGTAGAATTCTCCACGAAAGGCCTCATCCCTGACGCTGTCCACAGTTGGGTAGGCATCAGATGGAGCATGGATCAGTAGCAACTGCCCTTCCAAGATCTGTGGGCTGAAGAGGCTTGAAATATGGGCAACAGTTTCTTTGAGCCAGGTGAGGTCAGAATCTGCCAGATGGACCAGCACCGTAAGACGTTTCTGCTCAGCCTTAGAAGAAACACGGAACAGGGAGACCAGTGTGTACAAGAGGCTGCTTCCATCTCCTTGCTGCACTGAGGAGATCCCCACCGTCAGCCATCCTAAGGAGAGGTAAAATCGGGGCGACTGTCAGTGTACAGGAACAGTGACGGTTGTCAGAAGGGTTAGGGGTTGGGATGCTATGTGGGACTTTCACTCCTCCTTTCTTCCCTCTCATTTCCTGCCTGTTTTTCCCTTTGGCAGAGGGGATGCTTACATCCTTGCTACTCCAAGTGTGGTCCTTAGTCCAGCAACATCAGGCTCCTCTGTAAGCTCATTACAAATACAGAATCTGGACCCCTACCTCAGATTTAATCAGAAGCTGCATTTTCACAATATCACCAGGTAACTTGCATGCACAGTGAAGTTTGAGAAGTACTAAGCTAGGTGATGCTGAGTCTCTGTGGGTTTTGCTGAGTCTTCTTTGAGCCTAGAACTTTGTGGCATATGGTTTAGGGGCTCAATAAATATTAGCTATTATAGTCATTATAATTGTTGTCAATTATATTATTGTTGTCAATTGTTGTCATCTTCACAAAGCTGTCCTTTGAAGAAGGTATATTAGGAGAAGGACTTCCCGGCTGGGAGCAGTGGCTCACACCTGTAATCCCGGCAGTTTGGGAGGTCAAGGTGGGAGGATCGCCTAAGGTCATGAGTTCAAGACCAGCCTCACCAACACGGAGAAACCCTGTCTCTACTAAAAATACAAAATTAGCCGGGCCTGGTGGCACACACCTGTAATCCCAGCTACTCGGGAGGCTGAGGCAGGAGAATAGCTTGAACCCAGGAGGCAGAGGTTGTGGTGAGCTGAGATCACACCATTGCACTCCAGCCTGGGCAACAAGAGCAAAACTCCATCTCAAAAAAAAAAAAGGAAAAGGACTTCCCTTAGAAGTCAGGAGCCCAGGCCAAGCGCAGTGGCTCACGCCTATAATTCCAGCACTTTGGGAGGCTGAGGTGGGTGGATCACGAGGTCAAGAGATCGAGACCATCCTGGTCAGCATGGTGAAACCCCATCTCTACTAAATATTCAAAAATATTAGCTGGGCGTGGTGGCGCACGCTTGTAGTCCCAGCTACTCGGGATGCTGAGGCAGGAGAATTGCTTGAACCCAGGAGGCAGAGGTTGCGGTGGCCGAGATCGCGCCATTGCACTCCAGCCTGGGTAATGAGCTAAACTCCGTCTCAAAAAAAAAAAAGAAGGAAGAAGACAGGAGCCCAGAGTTTTTGTCCCAGTTCTGCTGATTGTGTGATCTTGAGCAAATCCCTTCAGCCCTGAGTTTAGTTCCTGATCCATAAACTGGGGGAGTTGGACTATGTGACTCTAAGACCCCCGCTAATTCAAATGTTCTCTAGTCTAGTGAGTCCACCTTCTTATAGCAATTAACTTTAGTAACTTGCCAGGAAGGGAAAAAAGAAAAGTGGTAGCTAACTAACTTTTTTCTCCTTCCTCCTCATATTGCTGATATATATATTGCCTTGGGGAAGGAGGAGAAAATTGTCTGCCAGAATCTAATATTCCTAGGCACAAATCTGTCTTCCTCCTTCCCTCTTCTACTGTCCTTCCTATCTGGCTGATCTCTTTCTGTCCCTACTTCCCCTGGGGTACTGAATTCTTCCCTCTTATTGGTACTCACTCTTTCTTCTCTTCTGGATTTTTTCCATATATTCGAAGGTGAGTTTCTGCCAGTCTTCTAGTGGTCTTGGGTCCTTCCTGCTGTTATAACTGGCCTCCTGGGGCATTGACAAGGGCAAACATATGTATCATTTCATAAAAAGAACAAACTTTACACCCCAGTGGCTGGAAGGTGTAAAGTTTCCCATAAGCTTTTCTGGGAAAAGAAGTGGAGTGAACCATTTTCCCTAGAGTGAGCCCAGCACATTCTCAGGATGCTTGGCCATTGGCTAAAATATCCAGGGCTCAAGCAGTATTTGCTCTCCTTTGTCTTAACGAATATGGAGAACTAATAGACCTGGATCCATACCCCCATTCCCTTTGGAGCTTCCTGCTCTCGGGTGAAAAGGTACAGGAGGAAGGAAAGCCCAGGGGCTTTCAAGAATCTGCCTGTCCACACCATTTCCACCCTATATTCCCAGTTCCCAAACTGAGCAAGCTCAAGGGTTGCTACTTGGCCTTTGATAGTCACCACATTTTGATCATCTTCAGTTTCCTTGGGGATTTTCAAAGTGATGAAGAGCCACAGGAATACAATGCCCACTGAGAGTATGAAGCATTTCCTGATGGAAATCCGCATCGCGTCTGCGCCAGGATACGGTTCCTATAGCAAGAAGTCAATGTGTACAGCTTGAGGACTCTCTTCTTCCTATCCATGCCTAGAGCCTCCCTCTGTCCTCTGGAAGGCTTCCCTGATTATATTAACCACCCCCTGCCTGCCCCCATATTCTGTCTTTCCTCATTGTTAACTTATTTCCTAGATTTCGGCCCACTACAGCCTCCACCTCCCAGGTTCAAGTGATTCTCCTGCCTCAGCCTCCTGAGTAGCTGGGATTACAGGCACGTGCTACTGTGCCTGGCTAATTTTTGTATTTTTAGTAGAGATGGGGTTTCACCATGTTGGCCAGGCTGGTCTTGACCTCCTGATCTCAAGTGATCTACCAACCTCGGCCTCGCAAAGTGCTAGGCGTGAGCCACCGAATCCGAGCACACCCTTTTATCTGATCTACGAACCTGAAACAATAGAGCCTTATTCCTTGCCTAAAGAAGGAAGGTCACTTGTCCTGTGATAATATTTGTTGCAATCACTTCATATCCTTAGCGATTCAATTTCAAAATGATGAGGGAGGGTTGGCTGAGGCTTTAGTGATACAGTTTATCTGAATAAACAGATGGTCATTGTACCCTCCTTACCCCCACTTTTTAATTTTATTTTTGAGACAAGGTCTCGCTCTGTTGCCCAGACTGAAGTGCAGTGGCATGATCATGACTCACTGCAGCCTTGACCTCTCTGGCTCAAACAACGATCCTCCCACCTCAGCCTCCCAAGTAGCTGGGACCACAGATGTACACCACCAGCTAACTCTTTTTTTTTTTTTTTTTTTGTGGAGATAGGCTCTCCCTGTGTTGCCCAGGCTCGTCTTGAATTTCTGGCTTACATGATCCTCCTGTCTCAGCCTCTGAAAGTGCTATGATTACAGGCGTGAGCCACCACAGCCTGCCTCCCACACTTTTTAAAACAAAAATCAAACTATTAAAACAACTAACCCTGAGTGTTGCTAAGTGCTATGCCAAATTGCTGTCTTTGTCACTTTTTTTAAATAAAGAGTATCCTTAATTTATTCCAGTCTTTTTTTTTTCTGCCACCACCCTCCTCCTCTTATTCCAGTCTTTAATCTTATTCATAGACCTTGATTAGAACATGATTCTGTTAACTTAGAGTGAAAAAAAAAAATCCTTTCCTGTGTGTTGGTTTATTGGAATTCAGGCTGGCTCAGCCTCAGAAGTGCTTGTATGCTGCTCTCTTCCTCTGTGAGTGTCTTTTCTCTGGTGAGATGTGTTTCTCTGATTGCTTTGAGATTATCAGAGGTAAGGCTTTAATATGCCTTCTCACCTCTTCTCGATTCTTTCCCTGTGTGATCAGCACACAAAAGAAAAGGTGTAGTCAGTGATTTCTGTGCTCCTGAGGCCATACTATTCTCTAACCTCCCCCATTTCCAGGGATGCCTTCAACTTTAGTATTTTGGTAGAGGTTAACATACTTCTCTCCCTTAGTCACTTCGCTTTGTGATGAGTTATAAAAGTAGGCTGGGCATAGTGGCTCACGTCTGGAATCCTAGCTCTTTGGGAGGCTGAGGCAGGAGGATCTCTTGAGCCCAGGAGTTCCAAGACCAGCCTGGGCAACATAGGGAGACCTCCATCTCTATTTAGGTAAAAAACAAACAAACAAACAAACAAAACAATAATACTTATATCTCCAGGTAATCACAGGGATGAGGAAAAAAATTAAATCTTTTTTATTTTTGGGGCAGAATTTCACGCTTGTTGCCCAGGCTGGAGTGCAATGGGGCAATCTCAGCTCACTACAACCTTCATCTCCCGGGTTGAAGGGATTCTCCTGCCTCAGCCTCCCAAGTAGCTGGGATTACAGGCATGCACCACAACAACTGGCCAATTTTTTTGTATTTTTAGTAGAGACGGGGTTTCTCCATGTTGGTCAGGCTAACCTCGAACTCCAGATGTCAGGTGATCTGTCCATCTCGGCCTCCCAAAGTGCTGGGATTATAGGCGTGAGCCACCATGCAAGGCTAAAAAATAAATCTTATGTGCATTGGAACCAAATCATTAAAAAATAAAAATAAAAATAAATCTTTTTTTTTTTTTTTAAAGACGGGGTTTCACCATGTTGGTCAGGCTGGTCTTGAACTCCCGACCTCAGGTGATCCTCCCGCCTTGGCCTCCAAAGTGCTTGGATTATAGGTGTGAGCTGCCACGCCCGGCAAAAATAAATCTTATAGTAGTTAAGTCTTTACAGATTAAATTTTTCTCACTTGACTTCCTTAAACAAAGACTTTTAGTCCCATAGGTGATTAACATACAAACCTCTTCATGTAAAAAAAATAGACCTCTCTTCTCTAGACTATAAATACATACATACATACATATATATATATATATATATATATACACACACACACACACACACTGAACAAAAGGGCTTTAGGGGCCAAACATGGCTCATGCCTGTAGTCCCAGCACTACAGAGAGTGTTGGGAGGCCAAGGTGGGCGGATCACCTGAGGTCAGGAGTTCAAGACCAGCTTGGCCAATATGGTAAAACCCCTTCTCTACTAAAAATACAAAATTTAGCCAGGCATGGTGGCATGTACCTGTAGTCCCAGCTACTCGGGAGGCTGAGGCAGGAGAATCACTTGAACTTGGGAGGCGGAGGTTGCAGTGAGCCAAGATTGTGCCACTGTACTCTAGCCCGGGCAACAAAGCGAGACTCTGCCTCAGGAAAAAAAAAAGGAGGGGTGGGCTTTAGGGCCAGGCAAGGTGGGACTGGGATAAAAATCACCCAGTGGAAGTGTGTAGGCACTCAGGCCTATAATCCCAGCATTTTGGGAGGCCAGAGTAGGAGGATCACTTGAGGCCAGGAGTTGGAGACCAGCCTGGGCAACATAGGAAGACCCCGTCTCTATAAAAGATAAAATTAGCCAGGCGTGGTGGCAACATGGCTGAAGTCCCAGCTACTCAGGAGGCTGAGGTGGGAAGATCACCGAGGCCGCAGTGAGCTGAGATCATGCCACTGCACTCCATCCAGCCTAGGCAACAATGGAAACTTCTTTGTCTCTCTCTCTCAAAAAAAAAAAGCTTCAGGCAGAGAATACTGTGCTAACTGCAGTTCAAGGGTTTCACCACCATAGGCATAGCTCTGCTCCCTTTTTGTACCTCCCGCGTAGTTTCCCAGTCACAGAGGGAAGACTGCTCTCAATGAGCTCTCCGAGTTCGACAGACTTCTGGAAGAGGCAGGAGACAGAGGGGAAAGAAAAGGGAGCTGGGGTGATAAGGACCAGTCACTCCAGGACTAATGAACAGAGGGTGAGGCCAGGCACCCCCAGTTTTCTACACTTGAACTGAGCTCTCTCTGTGATGTTACTGTTGTGTCCTACCCACCTACTCCCCATTGTCAGAGGAACGCACGTGCAGGACTTACATGTGACTGGTGTGTGCTTCATCAGTGGGAGCTATGACTCCTCCTTCATCCTAAAGCCCAGCATCAGCATCTCTAGATACTGAGCACTCCGCTCCCCACCTCACCATGTCCCCTACTTCCTTACCTCTCTCCTGCATTCTTTCCTTCCCTCCTGTTGGTTCCACTGATGCTTAGGTTCTGCCTCCTGCTTCCTCTCGCCTTCCCAAGTTCTTCACCCCTGTGGTTATCATCTTTCTCTTCTGCATGATCCGTTTCTCCCTTTCTACTGGATGATTCTCATCACTAGGAAAAGGAGCTTTATTATCTCCCAGTGGGTGGGAAGAAAGGCAAAAAGCAAAATGCCTCCCTGAATTTGTGTTCTCTTCCAGTTCTGTGCGATTTCTCTACAACTGCACATGGCAAGGCCCCTTGAAAGTGCTGTCTTTGTTAATTAGCCCCACTTCATTTCACACTCTCTCTCCTCATCTTACTCAACCTCTCTGTAACTTTGACTGGGTTGACTGTTGTCGCCTCCTTGACAGACTTTCTGCTCTGGCATATCTCTCTTGCCACACTGATGGCGCCCTCTCAGTTGCCTTTCCTGGCTCATTCTCTTTCCAACCTGTAGATGTAGGAGTGTGGTGGGGCTCTCTTTTCTTCCTACACACTTTCCCTGGGGGATTTTATCCCAGTCCCATGGCTTTAAGTTATACATACACACACACATACACACGCACACAGATGCACATGGGTGAATGAATGTGTGTATGTATGTATCAGATAACCCCCAAATCTTATCTCTAGTCCTGATTCTTTTTTGTTGCTGTTGAGATGGAGTCTCGATCTTGTCACCCAGGCTGGAGTGCAATGGCACCATCTCGGCTCACCGCAACCTCCACCTCCCAGGTTCAAGCGATTCTCCTGCCTTAGCCTCTAGAGCAGCTGGGATTACAGACATGAGCAACCACACCCAGCTAATTTTGCATTTTTAGTAGAGATGGTGTTTCTCCATGTTGGTCAGGCTGGTCTCGAACTGACCTCAGGTGATCCACCCGCCTCGGCCTGCAGAGCCACCTTGCCCAGCCCTCTAGCCCTGATTCTTGTCTTGCTCCCTATCCTGAGCTCCAGATTACCTGACTATTCAACATCTTCAATTGGATGATAAGTTATCTCAACTTTAACAGAACCAAAATAAAACCACAGATTCCTCCTACCTCCCTAAGGTTTTGTGGGTTTTTTTCTTTCTCTTTTTTTTTTTGAAATGGAGTATTGTTCTGTTGCCCAGGCTGGACTGCAGTGGCATGATTTCGGCTCACTGCAACTTCCACCTCCCGGGTTCAAGCAACTCTCCTGCCTCAGCCTCCTGAGTAACTAGGATTACAGACGTGCATCACCATGCCTGGCTAATTTTTGTATTTTTAGTAGAGATGGTGTTTCACCATGTTGCCCAAGATGGTCTCAAACTCCTAACCTCAGGTGATCCTCCCTCCTCGGCCTCCCAAAGTGCTGGAATTATAGGCATGAGCCACCACGCCCAGCCTCTCTCAGCATTTATTTCTACCAGAAGCTAACTTCTTTGTGTGTGTGTTTACTGTCTGTCTCCAT